TGTGTGTGTGTGTGTGTGGCCAGCTCAGCCCACCAGGGGGCGGGGGCTGGCTGGCATGTGGTGCTGGGGGATTGAACCGCGGTCACCTGTGCTTTAGCTAAGCTTGTTTTAAATAGGTGCTTTAGACCACTGAGCCATCTCACCAGCCCCCCCTAACAGTCTTAATGGGTTTACTGGATCAAGGTTATGCAGTGTGCATGTATGGCTCAGTTCCCAAGGAGCCAGAGTCCATCTTTATTTTTTATTTTTATTGTGTGTGTGTGTGTGTGTGTGTGTGCATGTGTGTGCGGTACCCGGGATTGAACTCATGATCTTGTATTTGCCAAGCAAGCACTTATTCCACTGAGCTATCTCCCTGGCCCTTAAATGATAGTTTTCTTTTGCTGTGTTTTGTTTTTTAATGGTACCGGGGATTGAACTCAGGACCTTGCGCTTATCAGGCAAGCATTTATGCCGCTGTGCTATCTCCCCTGGCCCTAGGGTTGTTTTTTTTTTTTTTTTTTTTTGTTATGTTTTGGTTTTGTTTTTGCGGTTTTACTAAAGCACAAATAAACACGTACACAGGCTGTCTACTCATTTTCTTCGCTGCGCAGCCTGGCATTGGGATTGGTGACCTGGTTGGATGGCTGGGCTGCTCTTTCCACAACGGCCTTGCAGTTCTTAGAGATGTTGTGCAGTAAGACGCGTGGCGCCTCAGCAGCACCTCCAGCTCCTCAGCGTTGTGCACAGGAACTTCCAGAAGCCGCTGGGCAGCGTGTGCTTGGTCTTTTTGTTACTTCCATAACCCATGCTGGGCCTCGGGATCTGGCCCCTGAACCTCCTCCACACCCTGTTGTCAATGCCTCTGAGTTTCCGCCAGTTGCGCTTAATTTTGACATACTTGTCTGACTGGTGCCAGATGAACTTCTTGGTCTTCTTTTTGATGATCTTGGGCTTCATGAGGGATCTGAGGGCCGCCATGGTGCCCAGTGGGAGATGGCTGCCGCTTCCATAGGCAGCGTTGAGGAAGACTTTTTGTTGTTGTTTTGAGATAGGGTCTCACCTGGTAGTCCAGGCTGGCCTGGAACTCATAGCAATCCTCCTGCCTCAGCCTCCTCAGTGTGGGGATTACAGGTGTGCATTACCAGGCCCTGCTCCCCATGTTCCAGCATCCAGCATGTGGCCACCTGGGTCGGGAGCTGGGAATTGGGCGGCATCAGGCAGCGCACTGCGCTTGTCGGGACGGGACTTCCAGCTCTGCCAGTGCCTTCTCCATCCCACTGTGCACCCAGCAGTCTTCTCTCCTCCAGTCATTGTCACAGGAGAGGCCTGGAGCCAACTCAGAGCCTGGCATCTGATGTACCCCACTGCTGGCCCCGCCTCTGCCACACTCCTGCCTCCGCCCACATCCTGGCCTCTGTCCCTTCCCAGTTCCTCCTGTTCCTCCATGCTCCATGGCTACGCACATCCGGGCCCTCGGTCAGCAGGCTCTTCCTCATCTCTGCACTTCCCAGTGTCCTGTGGTCTCCTTTTAAGTTTTTATTATTTATTCATTTATTTATTTGTTTATTTTTGGCGGAACCAGGGATTGAACTCAGGCCCTTGTGCTTGCCGGGCAAGTGCTTATTCCGCTGAGCCATCTCCCCGGCCCCTATTATTATTTATTTATTTTTGAGACAGGATCTCACTCTAGCCCAGGCTGGCCTTATACTCATGGCAGTCCTCCTGCTTCAGCCTCCCAAGTGACAGGTGTTTGTCACCACCCAGCATCCTGTCACTGCCTCCTGGCTGCTGCCCTAAGACCTGTATCCTCCCATCTGCCTTCGGCTCTCGAAGCTGCCAGTCCCAGTCCCCCTAGCCTGTAACCCGCGTCCTGGGGCGAGCCCTGGGGTGCCACCGCTGGTCTCCTCGGCTCCAAACTGATAACCACACCTCGCACCGGGTGGGTGCTCAGTTCGTGTAGCTGGAATAGGAATGGGGTTGTATTTCCTGCCCAGGAAGGATGTGCTAGGGCGACTTGCCCTTCCTAAATTCCAAGCAGCCAATACAGATTGCTTCCTTCAGGACACCAGACACTGTGTGGCAGGCGCAGCACAGTGTGCACAGGACACCTGCTTCCACCCTCATGCAGCTTTAGGTTTAGGGCAGGGGTTAAATAGGAGGGATAAACCAGGAAGCGGCCCGTGATCCCAGCAGCCAGGAGGCTGAGGCAGCAGGAGCACCATAATTTCAGCCAGCCTGGCTACATAGCGAGACCTTGTGTCAACCAACACACACGCACACACATGTGCATATGCACAGGCAGGTGATAAGGTGCAGCCGTGGGCAGAGGGCAGCGGCCTGAGCCTCGCTCCCGCCAGTTCCAGGATGACGGGTTCCTGGTGCTGGAAGGGTTCCTGTCTCCAGAAGAGTGTGTGGCCCTGCAGCAGAGGACGGCCACGCTTGTGGCCGAGATGGACGTCCCTGAGCACTGTCGCACGGTGTTCACCACCCACAAGGAGGAGCAGCTTCGTGCCCAGGTGGGTGCCGGGCCAGGGACGAGGGGCGCTGCAGGGAGGCCTCAAAGGCTGAGGCCGCTTCTGATGAGGGCTTGGCCAGCCATCCGGGGCTAGGCACAGGCTCGGGTGCCTCGCTTGCCGCCTTCCCTCTGCAACAGATTGTCTCCATCCCACTGAAAGGGGACAAAGGTGAGGCTCAGCGCACTCCCCCAGGCCACACAATAACTGACAGAGGCTGGATTCAAACCCAGCTCTGATTCTGACTGGGGCTGCTCCGTGCTCTGCTGTGCTGCTTCAGGTTTCCAGCCACAGGCTCCTCTCTGTGGCCAGCATCCCAGAGTTGCCCTGGGGTTCTGACGGGCCTCCATGTGCCTCTTAACCCCTGCCAAACCAGGCATGGGGATACTCTCATCCCAGCACTTCAAGGAGGCAAGTTCAAGGCCAGCCTGGGCTACCTAGCCAGATTCTGTCTCAAAAAAGGAGCAGCCCCTGATTGCTTTCTAGGGCTTGGTGTCATTCAGGAAGGGTGGATTCGCTTCCTGCCCTGCACCCCCCTCCTCCCCCTGCGAAGTCTGAGCCCCACTCTGCCCGGCAGCCCAGCTCTGGGCCTGGTGGCTCCCGGGGCTCCGTCACTCCCTCGAGGAGCTCCTGCCATCTGGTGGGCACAGCGAGAATCACAGGGGCCCTGAGTCCAGGGAATAATGGGGAGTCAAGAGAGGACGGGTACAGGTCTCCCAGTCGCAGCTGCCTTGCCAGCTAAGGAAGCCCAAGTGGTCCCGTGGCCAGGGCGCCAAGGAGCAGGGGGCTGGCTCTGTGCCCTCCAGGCTGCCTTCTGTGAACGCTCAGGGTTCGAGGGCAGGGGCAGGAAGGGCGTGCACAGGCCTGGCTACGACGAGTTCAGCCTAGATTCTCCTGCTTTCTGATGCTCTACAAGGGAAGCACATCCAGCAGAAACTGCACCTTGGG